ATATATATATATATATATATATATATACACACACACACACACAAATGTATGTACTCAATTGTTTATTGGCTGATGCCTGATCAAAATGTCCAAATATTAATTTTCCTGGCTGATATATTCCCTAGTGTCATTTGAATTAAATTACATTTATTTAATGCTAAATATACTACAAATACATTAACATATTTATGTGCTTAATAAAAATACCCTACAATTGTACTTCTGGCATACTAAACTGGTATACTTGAAGTCTGCAAAATTGTGCAGAAGTAGTGCTAAAGCCCAACTAAAGATATGCTGAAGTATATTTGATTGTGCTAAAGTGGAACTATTGAAAGTATACTTCATTTACACTTTAAATATCTTGCATTTAAAGAACGATATTATTCAAAGATCATACAATCCTCATCAATAATGACATTAAAACACATTTTAGGCTTAATATTAAAAAATGTGCATTGTGCACAAGTCCAGTAAAGTTTAATAGTACTTTTTATATCAGTAAGTCTCAAGCGATATGTCAGCAAATATATTAATAGATTTGAACTATACTTACTATGAAATAAATGTATTTTACTATTTTACTAGGGTTGTTTATTTGCTAGTGAAAAATGAGCGTTTTTTCCCCACTAGTTTTTCACTAGAAAAAGAAAAGTGGTAATTTAAAAAAACAGTGGCTAAACAGAATTGTTTAACATTATCCAATAGCCTGAATGACCTCAGTGACATCAGAGGAAATGGAACAGCGTTTTATAGGAAAAGCAAGTTCACATTTTGGTTAAAAATAACAAAGACATTTTTTTCTTTAAAATAACACTAAGGAACTGTTCACAATTACATAAGGAATGCGAAATGATTTTATGTTGAAGGCAAAGAATGAGCGATGTGCTGTACTTTTTAATATTCTGTTGGCAGAGAATCCATAAGGACCTGGTTATAGCTATGAAAAACATCGCAACACAGAGTCATGTTAGATCAAGCTGCACTTATGTGGCATTAACAGGTCTGACAGAGTGGCTGCATGGGCTGCTGCTGAAAATGTCTGGCACCTGCCATTGGCCCTGATCCAGGATTCGGCAGCTGGTGAAGTCCACCACGTGCCATGCCCATCTCAGAGCAGCTCCCTGCAGAACGCCTTCTGACGTGAGCTGGCATAGTGCTTCTTACATACAGCCGACATGAAAGTCTTAACCTTGGCCTTCTACCAGGTCCCTTTGCCCATGCATGTACACAGTGACCGATGAACGATTTAATAGAGAAAGAGAGCAATGGACAACTCTCTACACAGTCTGCTCTACCCAAAGCAGGCCTCCCGACAGCATCAGCAGCCGGATTGCAGGTGCTTCCTTCAGACTGTGCAGTTAACTCTTCCTAATCCACACAGGGGTGATGCAAATCAAACAGCTCAAATGTCGCCCAGTTCCAGGGGATTCAAAGACTCCTGCCTGAAGCCAAGCAGCACGGCTCTATCTACAGGGGAGCATCTGTCAGGCAGCTTTCCTGTCCCCTTGAACACCCGCCACCCACATCAAAACCCCCCATACCCATCCCACACATAGTGACCCCATTCCTAAATATGGGCCATGCAGTTTGCCCCAACAAACCTTGTAAAACTGCAAAAATTTATTTCCTTAATCAGTATTTTTCTCTTGTTTTCCAGTCTTTTCACCTAAACATCCTTAATGTAAAGCCATTTTGTGTAATATAAGAGTTTTTCAGAGAATATTGAGGGAACTGTATTTTTTTTTTCTTTTGTATTGTTTTTACCCATACAAATTTTTTTTTTCATTTCTTCACTCAATTTTGTTACAAGCACAATTAAAATAAATTTTAAAATAAATTTTCTGACTAAATTTAATAAAACATTAAAAATAAATAATTAAAAACACATTAAAATTAAAAAATCCTTCCTTGACATTTGTTACACATACAATAAAATTTAAAAAGTACATTAAAATTAAATTCTCTGACAAAATTTTGTTGAAATGGACAAAAATACAGTAAAAATACAAATTGTATTATTTGAAAACATTTTTTGGTATTTTTATCTAAAACTATATTATGCATTTTTGTTTGTCAAGTAGCATATTTATCTTGGTCTATACATGTTTATAATATTTTACCAAAAAAAAAAGACAATAATAATGATTAAGCCTTTTTTTAGTTAAAGAAATCATGAAGACTGAAGTAGAGGTTCATGACTTTCTTAATTGTGACACTGGACCACAAAACCAGTCATAAAGGTCATTTTTTAAAACTGAGATTTATGCATCATCTAAAAGCTTTCAACTGATGTATGGTTTGTTAGGATAGGACAATATTTGGCCGAGATGCAACTATTTGAAAATCTGGAATCTGAGGGTGCAAAAAAAATCAAAATATTGAGAAAAACGCCTTTAAAGCTGTCCAAATTAAGTCCTTAGCAATGCATATTACTAATCAGAAATTAAGTTTTTATACATTTATTTACAAAATATCTTCATGGAACGTGATCTTTACTTAATATCTTAATGACTTTTGGCATAAAAGAAAAATCGATAATTTTGACCCATACAATGTATTGTTGGCTATTGCTACAAATATACCCCAGCGACTTATGACTGGTTTTGTGCTCCAGGGTCATAATTTATCATTCACACTTTCTTATATATCTGTATGCATTAGTGCAAAAAACAGATAACAAATCTGATTTCAAGAGGCTAATCTCACCTTTGCACTGGCCTAAATGCTCCACAGTGATCTCTTTATCTTGTCTGCATGCGATAGTCCTCAGCTGGCATCGGTCTGCATAGGTGACCCCATCAGAACCACATACCTGTCCACAAACATGTCCATGTCTATTATTAGAGAAGAAATCTTCATCACTAGAGTAGGTGAAGAGTGTGGATCTGTGACTTATGCAAGCTCACCTTGGTCTTGTTTTTCTCATCACAATCTGGCGACGGGCACTCACAGTGAGCCTGTCCGTTCACCTCCACACATGATGCCCCAAAGTGGCACACAAGCTCATCACAGGACTTGGGTGCCTCAGGTCCTGTGGAACAGATTGGCCTCTGGTTAATTCATAACTGATAATTGAACTTTTAAGGGTTTCTGAAAGCTAACACACATGGACAAACATGTGGGAAACCAGCATCACAAAACACAATATATGCCGGTCATTTCAGTGTGGGCTACTTGTTAATCCACAGATATTCATCAGAAAGATGGACTTGCATCAGTAGCAGAGCCTGGACCTTGCCTGCCACAGAAGTCTACTCTTTACTCTGACATCAGAGCGCTGGGCTGCACTGCCTGGCCTGCAGCATTGACTGGCTTCCTCTTCTGTACTTTCATGTGGCAGCTTTTATCTGGCAGAAACACTGCATGAACACTTCTATGCTGGGACTGTTGAGTTCATTAAGCTCTTCACTTCCTGTCAATAGCTGGCGGTGACTTCATTCTACTCACCATGCCAACACAGGGGGTGACATCAGGATAGCATTTCACTGTCACCCCTGGTGTGCATTTGAAGATTCAACTTTGAACTCCACTGATACAATATTTAGAATAAAGTAGCTAATTATTTGGAATTTAATTTTTTAATGGGCTTTCTACTTTTAATGTATATAATATTATACTGTAGTCTCAGCCTTTTAAGATAATTATAATAATTCATCATTAAAATGAAATAAATTATTCAAATAAAATAATTATTTTAGCATGATAGATACTAAATAAAATATCTTATTAGATACTAATAGATATTTAAATAAGATTTAAATTTTTTTTTTTTTTTTCACATAATGAAAATGGTAAATGATCATAAATGATAAATGGTCAATATATTATATTTTATACAATTTTGTTTGAATTATATTATTATTATATTCTATAATACTTTGAGTAAATAAATAAAAAATATATATATTAAAAACTAAAATAAATAGTTTAAATGCTACAAGTGATAATGTATAAAAATGGATATTTATTTTCAGGCTTGCAAAATATTACATTGAACAGTGTTATTAAATTATAGTGTTTTTAAGTATTAAAAACATAAAAAACTGGGCATATAATCATCCAAAACTGGCCACTCTACAGTATCAACAGAATATAAATAATATTATTAATAATTGGTACAGATATATTGTTAATCGATACCCCAGACAATCTCAAACATACTGCCGGATTCAAACCCACATCTTTCTGAGATCTTACCACTATGCCATGGTTCTGACATGACACTAAAAGCCTTATTTGTCAGAACACTTTTAATTAACAAAGACTATTAATTAACCAGTGCCATCATTTTTATTATTTCTACACGTAACCCAACATTGCGAAAAACAGACCTAATTATAATTCATAAATTCATAACCTAGCTGCATCAGAACTGCAATCCTGGAGAGATCGTCTGAGTTTTGTGCTAATTAAAATCCCAGCATTACCTTTGTCACAGCCGTTGGCTCCCATCTTGCTGCCGTCGGGGCACACGTTGCATTTCATGCCCTTAACTCCAGGCTTACATGAGCACAGCCCTGACATCTGCTCACAGTCGTCACGAACCGAACCCACTCCATCACAGTTACACGCTGATGAAGAGAGGGAGAGAGAGAGGGCTGTCAGCCTTATCTGCTTGAACAGTTTTGATTAGATTCCTTGTCTCTTTCTCTTCAATTTCACTCTGACAAAAACATCCACACATCCACCAAATGCATGCAGGCAATCTGAAGCTGCTCCAATCTGTGACCCCACAGCTACAGCAATAGCGCTCGCTCTGTGTCAGTGACTGCAGCCTGGTGGAGTTCAAAGCGGGGTCAAGAAGCCCTGGGGTGAGAGCGAACGTGGCTACAGAATGTGCTAATGCTCTAAGGACCCCTGGGACAAAGCACAAACTGTTTCAATCACGCTTATTTTTCTATCCTTGGCTTTGTAGCAGCATACAAACACACAAATACATGCGTCAGAGCTTTATTGGTCTGTAGGCAGAACTTATAGGTCAAGCCACGCTGCACTCTCGCGCAGTTCCCATTACCCGCGGAGACTCGGAGGCTTACCTCGAAACGCTTGTTTTGACAGAAATCGCATTTGAGGCCGGAAGGATAGCACACGTTAAACGAGTAGGTTGTCACTTCGGATTTCGGATTAGAAAGGAACATTTAACACATTTAACAGAAAATGCCCCGAAAGCAAATCACCAGGAAAGAGAGAAGAGAGGAACGCTTACGTGTGCAGCCACTCATGTTCTCTGTAACGATGCCTCGGAAGTTCCAGAATCCGGGCTCACAGCGGTCGCACTTGAGTCCCCCGACGCCGGGTTTACAGGAGCACTGGCCGGTGGACGGGTCGCAGGTGCCTCCGTATGAGCCGTAATGATTACACTGACACACACCTAAAGAAGAAACGGACACAATCTATAAGTTAATAGCATGTCACTCCATGTCCCAACCAGGTGGGATGAGACAAGAAATCGTGAGCTACACAATTGCAATTAGTCGGAACATATTTTACGTTCAATATACAGTTAAGTGATATTTTGGACTGTTGTCAGGGTTGCAAACCGCAACAGCACATTGCCCATTTATCTATAATTGGCCATAATAAGAAAATAAGCATTTGGAATTGGCCAGAATTTTAAAACTGGTTCATCCCAACTTGAAAAAGTAAAAGTTCATCCACTCACATTTTGAATAATTAAACATAATTACTTTTGAATATTTATTATTATGAATTGTTATGCTTATAGTTCAAGATTTTTGGTATGGCATGGCATGCAGGAAAAAAATAGTAGGCTAAATCGTGCGCACGATTTACTATGTCGTTCCCTCGATTTATAAATTGTGCACACAATTTACTATTTCGTTCCCTCGATTTATAAATTGTGCACACGATTTACTAATTCGTTCCCTCGATTTGCTAAATCGTGCACACGATTTATTAATCGAGAGAACGAATTAGTAAATTGTGCGCACGATTTAGCAAATCGAGGGAACGATTTAGCAGACTGAGAGAAAGAATTAGCAAATCGAGGGAACGAAATAGTAATCGTGTGCACGTTTTAGTACATCGAGGGAACAAATTAGTAAATCGTGTGCACGATTTATTTATTTTTTTCCTGCATGTCATGTGCGGGGCTCCGTAGTGGAGATAAAAATTTGTATAACATTTCAGGATCAAGCAGAAACCTCTGCCTGGATCAAATGAACGAATGCCAAGTACACACTTATTTCATTCAGCAAACATTGTACAAATGTTATGTCATCTTATTAATATTAATGAGACTATAACATCCCCTTTCCCCATGTCAGATCATTCCTACGTCCATGCTTTTATCATTTAATGTGTTTAAGACAGTCTTTAAGACCTCTACAAACACTAAACATTTAATAATATAATGAAGTAAGATTGTGAAATATTAATTGTAATAACTATATTCTACTGTAATATTCCTGTGATGCAAAGCTGAATTTTCAGCAGTCACTACTCCAGTCTTCAGTGTCACATGATCCTTCAGAAATCATTCTAATAAGCTGATTTGCAGCTCAAGAAACATTTCTTACTATTATCAATGTTGAAAACAGTTGTTGCAGTTTTCTGGAATCGCCGATGTATTTTTTTAGAATTCTTTGTTGAATAGAAAGTTCAAAAGAACAGCATTTATTTGAAATAGAAATCTTTAGTAACGTTATAAAGGTCTTTACTGTCACTTTTAATCAATTTAATATGTCCTTGCTGAATAAAAATATTAATTTCATTAAAAAAATGTGTTTGGCCTAGCTTATGTCTGTTATTTAACATGACTGAATCAAACTGCCACTGAACTAGTTGATAGATAAGAAAAAAATAGTAGGCTAAATCGTGCGCACGATTTACTATGTCGTTCCCTCGATTTATAAATTGTGCACACAATTTACTATTTCGTTCCCTCGATTTATAAATTGTGCACACGATTTACTAATTC